AAGTTTTTATACAGAAAGACATTCGGATCTAGCTACTAATGTCCACCTTAGAGCATATAGGGAAACCATGTAACATATGTAAACCTCATAGCTAGCTATTTAGCAACAGTAAATTGGCTGGTAAGTTACACATTTGTAACCGTGTTCTTGATTCATTATTGTTGATAAGATGAAAGTCAGATGAATTTAGTATAGTTGGAATTTAACATCAGATATTCCTGTTGTACTGATCTGAAAAATTAATTAAGACCACACTGGCCTGGGAGGAAACCTTATGGCTGTCACTCAATCATACATACCCTGTGCAGCATTGTGGACAAAGGAGTTACTAAGGATTTGAAACCCATTATTCTAATATGACTTACCTAGTGATTAGGATAGAAGGATGCAAAGAAACACACATTGACCATCACATGTAATGTGGAATGGGGGGAAAAAAAGGAACCCCAGAAATAGAGGGGAGACTCCAATTATTTAATTAAGGGACAATATATCTCCAAGCATCTGCCAATTCATGTGCTTAGCCAGAAGAATGTCCAGAAGAATGTCCAGAGGGTCATAATTAGATTAGTAATTTACATTGCCCATTAACTAGCATTATTCCAAAAACAATACTGGAGAAATACTAAACTCTTCTAGCACTGCTTGGTGGGTTCAGTTTGATATGCAAATGTTACAAGTTCCTTCTGTAACTGCACAAGTATGTAAAAACATTTTAAATATTTTATTTTAAATTCTTTATTTTTTGTTGTGCAAGGTAATAAAGATTGAGCAATATACGCTGAGTAGATAGCAAAGAATTGGCATGTCAGATAGAGTAAATGTATATATAAAGCAGCACATTTTTTATGGAGACTAAACTATAGAAAACACTATCTCAAACAAGAAGACATAAAAAGAAGAAACAAACAAAATATGTAGCAGAGTGTTATTATCAATTCTACATTATGACATAGATTAATAAGAAGAGATAGTTGCTGCAAAAACATTTTTGAGACTTGAACAGGGATTAAATGATTGGCAAGCTATTGGGGTTTCTCTAAACCATTGCCCATACTTGGAGTTCTCATATTCTCTGTTTTTTTGTTGCTAGCACTGTTAGTGCCACTCTCTCAAGTGCCACATATCCCAGAAAGTGTCAAGTTTCCATAATGAAACAAAACATACCTTCAAAGTAAACAGATGAAAATAACAAACAAGAAATAAACTGGCCAATAATAGTATATGTTCTATACACACTATACATATATTATATTATATATATATTCACTTAAACGTATAATTACTGCTATTACAATAATTATTTCAATTCAGAAACAAAAGTGAATACTGAGAATGTTATTCATTTATTGTTAGGAGACCCTCTGCATGTGTGATAAAATACTTGAGTGATACAACATGAATAATACCCTGATACCTATTAAAACAAATGTGTGCATGCTTTTTTTAGGTATCATAGAAGTTTGTTTTACAATGATATTTATTTAATAGTCATATGTCCAGTGTTGGAATGTATGCTGCAGTTATCTAAATTTATATTAATGTTAATTCCAGAATGTTGAGACCCTGGCCAGAATCCTGAAATCTGAGTTGTGTACAGCTCAAAATGAAGTGGTCTGGTTGCCAGGTCCCTCAGGTTTTAACCCTTTAGATGTAAACATAGCAGTTTCAGGTTTTAACCCTTCAGATGTTTACATAGCAGGGTTAATCCAATCTCTAGTGGCTGTCTTCCTGACAGCTGCTAGAGGCACATCTGCGACGCTGGATGTGAAATTTGCATCCAGCGTGCAGAACGTCCATAGGAAAGCATTGAGAAATGCTTTCCTATGGACTGTTTGAATGCGCGCGTGGCACTTGCCGCGCATGCGCATTCTGCTCCACTCAGGAGCTGACGTCGGCGGGGGAGGAGAGGTCACCAGCGCCGAGGGAGCCCGGCACTGGATTAAGGTAAGCAGCTGAAGGGGCTTTAACCCCTTCAGCACCAAGGGAGGGGAACCCTGAGGGTAGGAGCATCCTTAGAGCACTATAGTGTCAGGAAAACACTATAGTGATCCTTTAACTCTAAATCAAGATAACAGTAGTATTAGTTATTCATGAGATGTTTGCTACTTTTTATCATATGAATATAAATAATTCCTAGAGATAAGCAAAACACAAAATAAAACAACTACATTTATATTATTCCATGTGTTCAGGCTTTTGTTTTTCTATGTACATTGATTAGAAAATAATATACAAATGCTTAAGTTAAAATTATACTTTAAATAACTATATATTTTTAGAAAATGACAACACTTGCAGTGCACCATTCAGCCGTGTCTGCTGAGTTAGTTAGTGTAAGAATAAGTGTAAGCGTAGCCAATAGTAGATGAATGTGATTATCTAAATACATTTTGTAATATATGCATGATATTTACTACTGAACAGACCATAAAAAATGAAACAAGTTGGGCTGTCTTGCAGATTCTCTTACAACCAATAAACTACATTTTTATTTGTTTTTCTCTATTGCTGTTTTATTTCCTAGCTGTTTGGTATCACACAAGAGGAATCCTGAAATTGACAATAACAATTCTAGACTAGGCTGGATTTAACTCTCAATGGGTGATCCAGAATACAGAGGATTTACTCTATAGGACTGTGATTTCTGTGTCACATTTGGGATATCTTCAAGAAATTGTGTTGATGTGTCGCTTTTTATTTGAACTGTTATATTCTAAATTATAGCATTTTTTCCCTCTTTTCTATTTTCTTAATATATATGTATATCCTGATACTGATGAAAGTCTTTGATAGACTGAAACGTTGATGTAATCTGACTGTATTCACAATAAATATTTGAACTTGGTTGAAAAGTCCAGTGAAAGTTTCTTCGTGGCCATTATACACACACACAAATATTATTTTTAGTATTGAAAAAAATGTGGCTAATTGTAAAAAGAAGGAAATATATAAATAAACAAATATATTAACCTAAAGGGATACTCTAACCACAAACACAACTTTAAAAAGTGTGTAGATCATGCAACTGCAATCTCACTCCTCAATTATCTGCTAATTAGTAACTAAATAAATAAACAAACATTTTTTTTTTTATGCAGCACTAGCCATGCCCTCTTACTGAGACTCACACAGCATCCTTACACACTTCATTTAGCATGTTTGTGGATTGTAACTATGAGTGCTGGCCAAAAAATTAAAAAGTGTGTTCAGAAAAAGCATGTCTATCTTCCTCAGGAAACAAGCTTGTTGTTTGTACTTGTTCTTTGTGAGTGCTATTCTTGTGCGTACGTTACTGATTTCATATTTTTTATTAAATGTACTGCACTATAATCTTTGGCCTTCTTGTTTATTTTGAATGAATAAACAAACAATAAATCTGATTTAGGTATAGCAGTAAAACATTTGTGTCAGATTTGTGAGTGTGTACATATTTTTATTTTATTTTATTATATAAATATATATATATAATAATTTTCTATATATATATATATATATATAATCAATATAATTCTATGTGTATTTTGATATCAATCCATAAAAAATATACTTGATCGCTTTGTATACTTTACACGTTTTGTAATAAACCAAGTATATTTTTCTAAGAAGACCTCTGGAGTGCACCCGTTTTTTATTTATATCAATTACGGCTGAGGCAGCACCGAGGCAAGCACAAGACCGGCAAATTGAGTGCGGGATTTTCTAAGTTTACATATATATATATATATATATATATATATATAATTATATATATTAATATTAAAATACACTTAGACAGATTTTCTAAGTTTACATATATATATATATATATATATATATATATATATATATTTATATATAATATTAAAATACACTTAGACAGTGTAAATATAAATATATATATATATATATATATATGATCTAAATATATATAATTTAATTTTAAACTGTTTTAACATTTTTTTTTACAGGCAGCAGGGGGAGTACCTGTCATTATAGGCACTCCCCCTGCTGGCACTGACATGGACGGCAAGGATCTCGCGAACACATGGCCCATAGGGGCCGAAACGGACGGAGGGGAACTCCCTGGGCTGCCAGGTGAGTCCCAACACTGCGATCGCCAGCATGAGATCGCCGGCGATCGGGTAAGTAGAAAGGACGGTGGAGACGTGCTATGCCGCCCCCCGGCGTTTAGAGCTAGGTCTCCAAGGACAGCATAGCATGCCCGCCATCCTTAAGGGGATAATGACTTTCCAATTTACATGCAAAATAGTTCCTTTTATACACTGTACAGAAGGACCTGATGTGTGAGCACTAACATTAGTGAATAAGCGGTCACCAGATTTTTTTTATGAGCAGAAGGACAAATGTCAACAGTCTTTGTGTTTTAATAACAAAGGGAGCAAAAGTGCAAAATTAATCATATAACATCTGTGATTTTGTTTTGAAGAAACCAATGTTTAAATCAATGATCATTAATAAACACTAAGAAATATATGGTATGTATGCATTCAATTTTCTCAGCGTAATAATGAAAACCTTTTTCAATATATACTAACCCCCTTAAGTGAGTTCTTTCCTCATTCTCTCTCTTGTATATTAAATTATCTTATAGTACAGTGTGACAGCATATAATTTAAAAGATTATTTTTCTTTTCTTGCTGTATCACATTGCAACATTACACTATAAACAAAAACATAATTTAACTCCTGGATCACAATGTTATAACACTCAAGACTACCACAACTTTACTACCACAACAAGATGACATAGTCTTAAATTAGAGGGGGAAAGGTTTAAAAATAATATCAGGAAGTATTACTTTACTGAGAGGGTAGTGGATGCATGGAATAGCCTTCCAGCTGAAATGGTAGAGGTTAACACAGTAAAGGAGTTTAAGCATGCATGGGATAGGCATAAGGCCAGGGACTAGTGATGTCCCAAACGGTTCGCCGAACGGTTCGCGAACGGTTCGCCACGGACTCATCATTGAGTAAACTTTGACCCTGTACCTCACAGTCAGCAGTCACATTCCAGCCAATCAGCAGCAGACCCTCCCTCCCAGATCTTCCCACCTCCTGGACAGCATCCATTTTACATTCATTGTGAAGCTGCATTCTTAGTTAACTGTCCAGGAGGTGGGAGAGTCTGGGAGGGAGGGTCTGCTGCTGATTGGCTGGAATGTGTCTGCTGACTGTGAGGTACAGGGTCAAAGTTTACTCAATGATGAGTCCGTGGCGAACCATTCGCGAACCGTTCGGGACATCACTACCAGGGACTAATGAAAGTATTTAGAAAATTGGGCAGACTAGATAAGCTGAATGGTTCTTATATGCCATCACATTCTATGTTTCTATATATACAGTCATGAAAAAGCAAAAGCACGCCCTCTTTGAAATCTATGGTTTTTACCTAATTGTATGACCTGATAATGAACAGGTGATTGTTATTTTGTCTTAATCTGTAAAACCATAGAATTCAAAGAGACTGTACTTTCTTTTTCCCATGATTTTGTATATACAGTTGTAATCAAAATTATTCAACCCCCATTAAAAACTGCTGTGTCCAAATTTACAGAGTTTCAGTTCTTTGCAATGAACAAATTAAAAAGAGCAATTGAAATAGCTTAACACAACAAATGCTTTAGGTGGTTTCCCTAAATTCAACAGAAAATGCAACTTATAATGACTTCTCCACTCTCAAAATTATTTGACCCCTTCATGGCAAGCATTTTTAGTACTAGTAGAGCACCATTTTGCTGTTATTACCCGCTGCAAATGAGATGCATAGCCAGACCCCAGCTTCTGGAGGTGTTCCTGTGGACCTCCAGTTCAAAAACAAATCATCACTATATTAAAAATAATAAAATGAAGAGACTCTAAGAAAGTGCCTCACCAACACCCCAAAAAATATATAAACCCACAATAAATATACAATACCAAAGTTATATACCAAAGTCCATAAAGAGAAAATAAAATAAGACAAAAAAATCACAATAGTGTAATATGCACAGAAGGATGACACTCAGTAGGGGAAAAAAGCACTCACAAGATGAAACTGGAATGCAGGCCTGTCGCCCTACTTTCAGAGGAAGAATATGCATTCAGTAAAACTCTTGGGTTTGTGCACTGCAACTGCCTACTTCGAATCCCACCTTATATTTTCTATGGTATTCAAGTCAGGTGACTGTGATGGCCACTGTAGAATTTTCCAGGACTTTTTCTGCAACCAAGACTGAGGTATGCTTAGGATCAATGTCTTGTTGGAAAGTCCAATTACATCAAAGTTTCGGCAACCCCCCCAAACGGCATGACGTTTTCTCCTAGGATTTCTTGATACTTCAATGAATCCATCTTGCCTTCCACACGCTGCAAGTTTCCAGTGACAGAGGATGCAAAGTAGCCCCAGAGCATCACTGAGCCACCACAATGCTTAACTGTAGGCAGATTGTTCATTTCGGCATGTGCTTACTTCTTGCTCCTCCAGACATACTACTGATCCATTGGGCCAAAAAGTTTCAGTTTTGTTTCATCGCTCCACAGAACTGAATCCCAAAACTGTGGCTTTTTTATATGATTTTGAGCATATTAGAGCAAACTTTTCTTGTGCTTTTAGGTCAGTAGAGGTGTACGTCTTGGATTCTGACATAGAACGCTTCTATGTTTAATACATGCCTTACTGTGCTCACTTAAACCTCATTGCCTTTCACTCAAATATTTTTTACAACCTGCCTTCTCAGAAATCTGGTTGCAGCCATTGATAGTTCCCTTTTTCTTCCCCCGTCCAAATAGTTTAACCTCTGTTCCTTCCACTTTGAATTTACAATGTATGCTTCCAATGCTATCTTTTTGTATCCTGTACCTTTTTTTTTTTGGAAGGGCAATGATCTCTTCTCTTAACTTTGTGGAAATGTTTTTGAATTAGACTTATTTTTTACATGCATACAAATATGACACTCAACAAACCTTTAGACAGTTCAGGTATTTCAAGTGTTCCAGCTCAGGTACCCCTGGTTCAACTAATTAATCCCCTGATTTGATACATCAAGTGTGATTGAGACAAAACCTGTTTTGCATAATTGTACTGTTGTGAGAGGGTCAGGGGCTTGAATCATTTTGAGACTGGAGAAGTCTCAAAATTATTACATTTTCAGTCGAATTTGGGGAAACTACCAGAAGCATTCATTGTGTTGAGTTACTGTATATACTCGAGTATAAGCCGAGGCACCTAATTTTACCACAAAAAACTGGGAAAAATTATTGACTCGAGTATAAGCCTAGGGTGGGAAATGCAGCAGCTACTGGTAAATTTCAAAATAAAATTAGATCCCAATAAAATTGCATTAATTGAGGCATCAGTAGGTTAAAAGTTTTTGAATATTTATTTCAAAGAAAAACAGTAAACTAGCTCTGTAAGGGGGAAAAGGGGTCAACAAAAACAATATGGTATCAACAATAACTTTAACAGTATAAAATACTTAGCTCTATCAGCAACTAAGCTAAAACAGCTAAAAGAGTTAAAATCCTTCAAAACTGGATTCCTCATCATCTGTATGTCCAAACAGAGCTTCAACTGTAGCTGGTGTGAGGTTATCAGCATAGACATTGTCATCATCAATGAGTTTGCAGTCATCACCGTTGTTACGGTACCTTCAGTAATAAATGTACAAACCGCCATTTAGTGAATGCTCCCGGTTCTCAATAATGTTGTCTGTAAGCGTATGCAATACAACCATGCGAACCGCCAGCCAGGGAACACTCCAAACTCCTGAACGGTATCCGTACGGCTCCTTCCCTTCACAAGCCCCAACTTCACGAACTGCCAATTTCAGCCGAACGCCAATATCTTCCAAGCGGCAAATAATTCCAAAGAGCAGTCTCTAGTAATAAAATCCCCCCAATAACGAGACCAAGCTCCGCATTGAGGGTAAAACACGAACTGAGTTTACTGTGGGCTACCTGCCCATATTTATGCAGGTCTCCCACTTGGTGGACACTCCCCTAGGGGACCAAATGGGAGACTGGAATAGCAGATGGACATGGGGACATTTCAGACATACAATCACACAATATTCCCAGCATACATCACAGTTTCCTCCCCTCTGCCCGGGAGATAATTGAGAAGTAATCAATTATCTCCCAGAGCAAATCGCCATTTTAAATACAAGTCACAAAACACATAAAAATATATAACTTTATAACTGCCGAACATATTACATTCGTGTAACACATCCCCAGATAGCCTGGATCTGAGTGCATATTATTGGCGAATAGCGCTCAGATCCCATTCGCACAGTTCAATTGCCATGGAGTCAAAGCCTATTACAGTTCTTCGGTATGCGATTGACTCAATGGGAAGGCTATCTGGGGTAAGTCCATTTGTGCCTTTACATCTCCCGAACGGCCGGTGTTCGCACACTTCAGTCGATTGAGAAGGGAGGTCGATGGCTTCAGCGGTGTTCGGCTGAAAAAGTGTCCGTTTTCAGTTCCATGAAATAACCGTCGAACACCGCTGGTCTTTCGCATGGTTAAAATGGCCGCCGCCTCGCGGTCGACATACGAACGACGACCACCCTGTATTTGGTTTTAATTGAGAAGTGTCTGTGGTTAACCGCAACGTTCTAATTGGGATCAATAGGTTAACCAGCAGCACACTTCTCTTCTGGGTGGCCGTCCGTTCGGCAGTTCCGTTCGGCAGAAAAGTACATTCACTTAAACAAGGCATACGAACGGGTAAATTCATGCAAACGGCAAAACAGACGAACACAGCAATCTTAGTCCATATGGATGGGTCTGTCACAACCATCAATGCTGTCTTTCTCATCAAGAGTCACCCTCTTGACTCCCTTTTCTGACTTCCTGTATATAATGCAGACTGTGTGCATTATATACACACACGCTCTGCATTATATACAGTGTGTGTGTATATGATGCAGTGTGTGTGTATATGATGCAGTGTGTGTGTGTGTATATAATGCGCTCTGCATTATATACACACAATTTGCATCATATACAGGGAGTCAGACTCCCATCAACTGGGTGGGGGGAGGGCATTTTAAATATTTTTTGAAAGTATATTTCTTTTAATATTACATTTTTATAAAATTAGTTACCCCCCTTCCCCTAGGGAGGGGGATATCGCAATCCCTGGTGGTCCAGTGGCATCGATGTGCGGAGGGGGGGGCAGAAGCTCTTACTTTTCAGCAGCTTGCGGTCTGATGGCCGCGGGTCTCGCCAGATTACACTGGGAGCTGAATGGAGGAGCTGCACGGAGCTGACTGGAGCTGCTACAAAGGTAAGTAAGAGCTCGCGGTCAGCCCCCAACAGGACCGCCGGGCTTGTAATGAGCCAGCCGGTCCTGGTCTGTATTATGGCAACGTAAGTTACCATAATACAGACACTGACTCGAGTATAAGCCGAGTGGGGGTTTTTCAGCACAAAAAATGTGCAGAAAAACTCGGCTTATACTGGGGTATATATACGGTAGTTATTATTATTATTATTGCCATTTATATAGCGCCAACAGATTCCGTAGCGCTTTACAATATTATGAGAGGGGGTAGGTAACTATAAATAGGACAATTACAAGAAAGCTTACAGGAACAATAGGTTGAAGAGGACCCTGCTCAAAAGAGTTTACAGTCTATAGGAGGTGGGGTATAAGACACGTTAGGGCAGGAAATATCAATCAAATAGGGTGGTAGTGAAGCAGAGCTGGAGAAGAGAGTAAAGCACTGCCCTACAGGAGAGAGCAAGAGACAGGTATTTAAGGTAGAGGTTACTCTGGGAGGCCATAAGCTTTCCTAAAGAGATGGATTTTAAGGCACTTCTTAAATGATTGAAGACTAGGGGAGAGTCTAATGGCAGTAGGCAGGCTATTCCATAGGAAAGGAGCTACCGCGAGAAGTCCTGCAAGCGCGAGTTGCCCGTACAGGTGCGAGTACCAGTCAGGAGGTGGTCACGGGCAGAGCGGAGGGAACAAGGGGCATACCTATGGATCTGTGAAGAGATAAGAGGGACTAGAATTGTTCAGTGCTTTAAATCTATGGTTTGGCACTTTGTATGGACCCCTATAGGATACAGGGAGCCAATGTAAGGACTGGCAGCGGGGTGAGGTGTGAGAGGACCGACTAGAGAGGAAAATCAGTCTGGCAGCAGCATTCATTACAGACTGTAGTGGGGCAATACAGCTTT